GGGGGGGGGGTTCTCAGGGATTTTTTGAGGGATTTTTGGGGGGATCTCTGTGGGATTTTTGGGGAGGTTTTTGAGGGATTTTTGGGGGGGTCTCTGAGGGATTTTTTGAGGGATTTTTGGGGGGTCTCAGAGGGGTTTTTTGGGGGTCCCGCAGACCCCTCCCCGCTACGAGGAGTCCTCGGCCGAGTTCGGGTTCGTGCAGCGCCTGCTGCCCCCCAGCCGCGTCCCCGAGCCCCCCCCGCACCCCAAATACCCCACCCCGTCCGGCTGGAGCCCCCCCGCAGGTCAGCCACCCCCGGGGGGTAATTAACCCTGGGGGGGTAATTAGCTCGGGGGGATTTACCCCCAAAACGGGGATTAATTAATGAGGTATTTACTCTGAGACTTTGTGGGGGGTGGTTAATTACCCTGGGGGGTTTAATTACCTCTGGGGGAGGGCTTAATTACCCCTGGGGGGGCTTAATTACCCCTGCGGGCTGTTAATTACCCCCGGGCAGTGTTAATTACCCCAGGGAGGACCCCAAAATGTTCCTTTCAAGAGGGAATTGCTCACCCCAACCCAAATAACAAAGAGGATTTATTTAACCCAAATTGGGTTTAATTGCCCCGGGGGGGGGTTGAATTCCTTCGGGGGGGTTGTTAATTACCACTTTTGGGTGTTAATTACCGCGGTGGGACCCCAAAATATTCACTGGAAGGGAAATTAAGTAATTTCAAACTTAGTAAATAAGAGCATTTACTTAAGGGTGGAGTAGGCGAGATTCCCTCATTTCCCCTGTGAGGGTGTTAATTCCCTCAGGGAGGTTTCAATTACTTCTGGTGGATGTTAATTATCCCAGGGGGTTGTTAATTACCCTCGGGGGACCCCAAAGTATTCCCTGGAAGAGAAATTAGTGATTCCAAACTAAATATTGAAAAGAATTTACTTAAGTATGGAGTGGGTGAGCTTCCCCGGGAGAGCGCTAATTCCTTCATGGCGGTGTTAATTCCCTCAGGTTGGTGTTAATTGCCTCAGGGGGGTGTTAATTACCCCGAGGGGGTGTTAATTACCCCGGTGGGACCCCAAAGTATTCCCTGGAAGAGAAATTACTGATTCCAAACCAAGTAGTGAAGAGAATTTACTTAAGGGTGAAGTGGGCGAGATTCCCCCGTGAGGTTATTAATTACCCCGGGAGAGTGCTAATTACCCCAAAGGGATGTTAATTACCCCAAGGAGATGTTAATTACCCTTTGGAGAGCCAAAATATTTCCCTGAAGGAGAAATTATTGATTCCAAACCAAGTAGGGAAGAGAATTTACTTAAGGGTGGAGTGGGTGAGATTCCCCCGGGGTGGTGTTATCTCCTCCAGGATGGTGTTAATTAACCCGGGAGGGTGTTAATTACCCTCAGGGGAACCAAAATATTTCCTTAAAGGAGAAATCATTGATTCCAAACTAGGTAGGGAACAGAATTTACTGAAGGGCAGAGTGAGTGAGATTCCCCCGGGGTGGTGTTAATTACTCGCGGAGGGTGTTAATTATCACTTGAGGATGCTAATTATCCTCTGGGGAGCCAAAATATTCCCTTGGGGAGAAATTAATGATTCCAAACCAAGCAGGGAAGAGAATTTACTGAAGGGCGGAGTGGGCGAGATTCCCCCGGGGTGGTGGTGTCTCCTCCAGGACGGTGTTAATTGCCTCAGGGGGGTGTTAATTACCCCGGGAGGGTGTTAATTACCGGCTGGGGGTGCTAATTCCCGCAGGGCCCCCCCCGGACCTGCCCTACCTGGTGCGGCGCTCGCGGCTGCACAACCTGCCCGTGTACGAGGGGCAGCGGCAGGGCCGGCGCCTCACGGAGCTGCGCCGCATCCACGGCGACATCTGGGTGAGTGGGGGGCTCGGGGGGGCTGCGGGGGGCTCGGGGGGCTCCCCTGACCTCCCCCCGCCGCCCCCCAGGCGCTGGAGCGGGACCTGAGGGCGTTCCTGGGCTCGCTGGGCGTGCCCGAGGTGGCGGCGCAGGTGAACGAGGTGACGGGGACGCTGCGGCTCCGCGGGCACTGGGGGCCGCAGCTGCGGCGCTGGCTGCTGCACAGGGGCTTCTAGAGACCCCCCCAAACCTGCCCGGGGACCCCAAACCTGCCCGGGGACCCCAAACCTGCCCGGGGGACCCCGAAGTCTGCAGGGGATCTGCTGTGGGAGCAGCTGGAGCGTCACGAAACGGATCCTGGGCAGTGGAACGTCTGCTGGGGGCACCTCAAAATCCACCTGGGCACCCCAGAATTCACCTGGAGCAGCTCAAAATGTGTTTGGAGCATCTCCAGATCCACCTGGGCACCCCAAAATCCACCTGGAGCACCTCAAAATCCATTTGGGGCACCTCCAGATCCACCTGGGCACCCCAAAATCTGTTTGAGGAACCTCCAGATCTGTTTGAGGAACCTTCAAATCCACCTGGGGCACCCCAAAATGTGTTTGGGGCACCTCCAGATCCACCTGGGCAACTCTAGATCCACC